CACGAAGATTGACAAAGATTCAGAAACCTTTTGTCTTCTCCAAGATCATTTTTACTATTGATCATTATGTTCGTTCATTCACGAAGATTGACAAAGATTCAGAAACCTTTTGTCTTCTCCAAGATCATTTTTACTATTGATCATTATGTTCGTTCATGCACGAAGATTGACAAAGATTCAGAAACTTTTTGTCTTCTCCAAAATCATTTTTACTATTGATCATTATGTTCGTTCATCCACGAAGATTGACAAAGATTCAGAAACCTTTTGTCTTCTCCAAGATCATTTTTACTGTTGATCATTATGTTTGTTCATCCACGAAGATTGACAAAGATTCAGAAACCTTTTGTCTTCTCCAAGATCATTTTTACTATTGATCATTATGTTCGTTTATTCACGAAGATTGACAAAGATTCAGAAGCTTTTTATCTTCTTTAAGATCATTTTTGCTATTGATCATTATGTTCGTTCTCTGTTTTTCTGTTCGATATGTGGCTTTATCCTGCAATCTTGATGTGGCTGCGTTTTCTGTCATTCTAATTACCGATTCATTTTGCTGCTTGCAGCAGGAAATTGTCTAACTTATGAGACAATATTTTGTATTCTAAATTGTACTGACGTTGTCTCTTCAGGGAATTAGTTTCGAGGTCGATGAAAGTCTAAGTACCTTTCTATGTGTCTCAAAGCAAATTCCTTGTATCAAATTTATACTAGAGAATGTACTAGCGATATTGTATTCTAATTCGTTGAAAAATTGATCTATCATTTAACTTGCAACATCTAAAGAACGCCATCGCATTAAATCCTCGTCAATATCCAGACCAACCCCGACTCCATTAATCCTCATAACCCATTTGGTTCAAAAACCCATTTCCGGTCAGTAGTATCGACGCAGTGAAATCTGTATTCATCCAGGATTAACCGGTGCAAGCCGTTATCAAACCAGAACACGATGTACATCCTCTATCGTCACTGCTCACCCATGTGTTCAGGTGCAACCGAAAATCGACCAGTATTCAGTTGCTGACAGATCTGCTGGCGCTCTCGAGCGAGCCTCGTCGGGCATCGCCCCTCAGGATCGCCCCCTGAGCGATACCGTAGTGCTCGAAAGGATCCTTTCCGTAGAAGACCGTCTCTTCAGTCCGCTGATTCATTTTGTGTTTCGGTGGCGTGGAGGTTCTCGCGGGCGTAGTCGTGGGGCTGTTCTTCGGCGTGGACATCTTGCTGTGGTTAGAATTGGGACTGTTTCTGGGCGATTTCGGGCTGGCGGCGTGGTTAGCGTCCGCGTTGATCCCCTGCAACGCGTTGAAGCTCTGCATCACCAGATGAGAGGCGACCGACATCGTCAGCGGATTTGCGGCCGCGAGGGGAACTAGCCCGCTCGCGGACTTCTCGTTCCTGGCCAGCTGCACAGCGTTACTCGATTGATTCTCCACTCGAGCCGTCGCCGGCAGCATTACCGCGGATTGATTTTCTACTCGAGACATTGATTGCGCCGCGGATCGATTCTCCGGCTGCGTGGTCGACCTTTCGCCCCGAGGCACCGAGGGCTGGCCATTCGACTGGCTCGGCATCGATCGATGGCTCGATCTGTCCGTGGGCAGCACGGTGGTCGACTGACTCCTCTTCGCGGACTCGGCCCGGTTTCCGTTCAGCACGGGCGACGTCGGCGCCGGAAACGGGGCAGTTTGCGAGCGATGCTTCCTGGTCGGGATCTGCGGGCTTCTCGGCAAACTGCGATCCGTTTGCGAGTTCTGATCTTGAGCGTTCGTGTTCTCCGGCTCCTGGATGGGCAAGTTCGGTTTGAAACTACTCGTCGGTAACGAGTCCTCTCGAGAGGCGCTGTCGGCCTGGCCGTTGTTAACGGACCTCGTCTCCTCCGTGTTGGATTCGATCATCAACGGGAGGACCGGGTCGCTGTTGGTTCCATTCTTCAGCACCGCCAGGTTCGGGTCGCCGTTCGGGAAACTGGCGAATCGGGCGATCGTCTGTCGCTCTTCGGCCACTTGAGGAGCGAACGGGATCTTCCTCTCGGTGGGTTTGATGATTTGTCGCTTTCTTGGGTTAGAGGTGTTGCTTCTGTGTCTGTGTCGTTTGGACTCGTTCTTGGCGATTGGACGGGTCTCCGGGAAGTGTCTACCCTTCATCGAACTCGGCTCTTCGTCCTCGTCCTCGTAGTAGCGGATGTCCTCGTTCAGGTCTGACTCGTCCTCTTCGTACTCTTCTACTATCGCGCTCGCTTGAATCCACTCTCTGATACGGTCTTTCTTCTTCGCTCTGTCAACCGTAGTCTCGATTCCGTACGTGGTCAGGGTGTGAAGGAGCTGATTCTTCTCCTCCAACGAACTGTGGAAGCTGTACATCGAGGGACATAGCTCGTCCCTCTCGTCGGCGCCACCTGTGCAAACGTTCGAGTTCAATGAAGCGGATACGAAAACCCTGGAGTCTTTAATTTGGATCGATTGTTACCGTTCATGGCCTTCTCCGCACCCAGTTTCGCCAGCCACCTGTCCTCCAGGTATTTGTTTACCTCCAGCACGCTGACAGGCCTCTTCTCGGCCTTCGGGTCCAGCAGACGCTTGAACAACCTGAAGAACGTTTAATCGGGGTTCGAATAAAAATACTTGGAATTAAGTTTGGGATAATGGCAGGATGCTGGGAGGTCGCTGTAGAATGAGCTTCAGCTATTTTTTTAGTTCTTTGTTCCACTTATGCCTTCTTTCTTTTTGAAAATAATCGACATGTGTGGTAAGACAATAATGTGACTTTTAAATCTCAGATCCAGCAAACATGTAATGAAGATTTTTTTTTGGGAACAGAAAATTTATCTTGGTACATTAATAATCTTGTTCAGAGATTATAAACACGAGGGGTAACTATAATCATTCACGAGCTTGTTTCAAAAGCAAACTTAAACCAAAATGGAAACATTTCTTGGTACTGGCATGCGCTCCCTCAGAATGTAGTCTATAATTCTTTTCAAACCCTTCTGCTTGTTTTGACACGCTAACGTGATCCTAAAAAAGTATCTTTCTTTATTAGCTCTGTATGAATCACTGCGTCTTAAATCTTTTACAGAGATACAGCTTCTTTGTATGTGCACTTGTATACATTTATGGAGATTAATTTGTGATCCGGTTAAGAGCTTTCCACTGAGATATAGCAAGGGAGGAGTGTTCACTCATTTATTTTTGAGGACTTGAAAATTGGGGAATTGGGGGAGAATTTGGCGATATAGGAATTTGGGAATTTTTGAGTTTGTTGGCTTGAAATTTGAGGACATGAAAATTTGGAGATTTTGGGGTTTGGAGACCTTCAGATTAAGGGATATAGGATGTGGGATTCTGGGAATTTGATGATCTAGAAATTTGTGGATCAAGGAATTTTTGAATCAAGAAATTTGCAGATCCAAGAATTTGTAGGTCAAAGAATTTGTGCATCTAGAAATCAGGGTCTAGGAATGTGGAGATACAAGTATTTTAAGATCTAGGGATACCCATGAATTTAGTAATCTTACAGTTCAACAACATGGAAATTTGCAGATCTACTTACTAAAATATTTGTAAGCATAAAAATTTGAAAATTTAGGAAGCTAAAAAATTTGAAAATTTAGGAAGCTGAAAAATTCGAACAACTATAATTATAATCAAAATAATTGATATGTCTAGCACGGTTTTCAGGTGCAGTCATGAGAACAGATGAATTCGGTGCAAACCGGCGCTTGGTTACGCGTCACGCATTCGAGAAACTGACCTCTGCGCCCGTGAGCTGATCAGCTGAAATAATTTCGGTTTCTTGGCTATGTTCAGCGTCGCGTTGTGCCAGTTTTGATATCTGGTGTAACGCGGGTCGTCCAACGCCGCCTTCTGCCACGGCAAGCATCCGGTCAGACAGACAAATAGGACAATGCCGAATTGCCAGACATCGTGCGATGTGAGAGCTCTGAAAACGTGAAAGGCTAAATAAACGATCATACTTTTCTCATTCATCATGCAATCCACGATTTTCGCTGAAGCATTACTCTTTCATTTATACGTGCCATATTTCATCTCTCTAGACACTACTCAATATTGTACCTTCATTCTCAACAATGTAGGATTGCGAGATGTGGATCTATATAACTATGTAAACTACATATGTGTATATGTATATATGTAGCTATACAGCTACACACATGCACACATATGAATGGTTTTTGTACATATGCAATATGTAGTACAACTACATATGTATATATTTATATATGTACATATGTAACTATATAGCTACACACATGTACACACATGAATAGTTTTTGTACATATGCAATATGTAGTACAACTATATGTATATATGTACATACGTAACTATACAGCAACACACATATACACACATGAATAGTTTTTGTACATATGCAATATGCAGTACAACTACATATGTATGTATGTATATATGCACACATGTAGCTGTACAGCTACATATGTTTAAAAGACTATTCATGTGTGTACAGTAATAATATGTTAATAGTGTGTACTTAAATTGTGAGTACCTTAATGGTATATTAATAACATATACCACAATATGTGTGTATATTAATAACACGTTAGTAATGTGTGCTGACAACACCTACATCAATAATATATTAATAGCATACACTAACAAAATCAGTAATATATTATTAATGCATACTGACAATATAAATGTATATTAATTTAAACGTTAAGATCACTACGTGTCCCCTTATACGAACTCTACATCTCAACACAACTCTCTATCTCTTATGACATATCCTTCATAGAAACTATAGTTCTAGTATAGTCTAACATAGTCTTCATACCACCCGAGTCCCAAACTTCCACCCCATAATAACGGGGACGTAATTGGTAATGGTCAATCAAATAATTACTTGTACGTCTCGTCAGTGTCGATCTGCAATACCTCAGGCGGCGAGTATGGCAGCCACTCGTTGTGCCTTCGGACTACAGTGTTGACTCGTCTGGTCTCGCCGAAGTCGCACAATTTGATTCGCGAGAAGTCACTCTTGAACACGAGGATGTTGTCAAGTTTGATGTCACGATGCACCAATTCGCGGCTGTGAATGTGATGCACCGCTGCAGCCAGTTGTCTGGCAACCCTCTTCGCGTGGAGCTCGCCTAAACCGGTCTCTGTCACGTTCGACGTTAGATCTCCTGAAAATCCAAGGGGATTGACAGGATGGTTAGAATTATTCAGGACGTTAAATCTTCGCATTTACATAAATTCAAGTGTCCACATTCTCTACATTCCTGAATGACCGAACTCCTAAATGTTCACCATTCAAAAGTATTCAAATGTCCACATTCCTGAAGGACCAAACTCCTAAACGTTTACCATTCAAAAGTGTCCAAATGTCCAAACTCTCCATATTCCTGAATGACCAAACTTTTAAACGTTCACCATTCAGAAGTATCCAAATGTCCAAACTCTTCATATTCTTGAATAACCAAACTCCTACACGTTTACCATTCAAAAGTACCCAAATATCCAAACTCTCCACATTTCTGAATGACCAAACTCCTAAACACCATTCAAAAGCATCCAAATATCCACATTCTCACCACTCGAATATTTTCAACATTCCACATTCTCAACATTTCCAAACCTCCACAATTAACGCAAAAGTGAATTGAATAGACCTAAAGCGATCCTCACCGAGAGGAGCGTACTCCTGACTGAAAACGTAGAAGCCAGCGGTCTCGAAGGCCACATCGTAGGTGGTGATGATGTTCCTGTGCGCAGCCAGGTGTAGCCCATAATGGAATTCCCGAAAGAAGTCCGAGATGCCGGTGTAAGCCTTCGGCAGCGCTTTCAGCACCATCTCTGTCTGGGTGCTGCGATGCTCCGTAAGCAGGATCTTGCCGAACCATCCCTCGCCAACGATTTGCAGGATATCGAACTCGTCGATCAGATTCACCTGTTCGAAGAAGGTAAGAGAGCACGTTTCAGCTGTTGTCTCGGTCACGGGATCGTTAGTCGTGATGCGATGGATCGAGCAGCTGCGCCCTCGATTTTTCTCCGTGAATCGCGGAGAGCCAGTGTGAACGACACGGGAGTCCATTCTTCTATTTTTAATTCGACGCACGACGCGTTTTGTGCGGTGGACACGTTCCGATCGACGGATAACGCCGTCTCCGAATGATTTGTTCGAGCAGCGTTGGAAACCAGACTGAAGATCTTTTCTTTTCACGGAGTAATCAGAAGTCTGCCACGATTCGCGGATTCGATGTATAATTTAGCGTGGCGCGATGAAAATGTAGCTCCTGTAGGTCGTGGCTTTTTATCGAACGGAAGATCAACGATGCGGCACGGGATTTTAATTAACCAACAGGCTTCTGCAGGATGCTTCGGGAATCGTAAGCTTCGTGATGGTTAGCTGTGTTAGAACGGTTGTTAATTAGAAGAGTTAGTCTGCAGAAACTTTTGAGGAGGGTAGTTTGAGGGTGAGTCGCGTTAAATATTAAAATACTAGGTGTCTGACTGTAGTCTTATACATCTGATTTTAATGTTATAACTAAATATTAAGGACTCTTAACAATTAACGCTATATGTAGGAGGATTTCTAAGACTGTTCTGAGGTCACAATGTGAACCTGCTTTTGTAGATCGATTTCTGTATCTCACATTCTTTATTTGCGGTTACAAGATTTACATCGAATTTAATATTCCACAAAAATTCACTAAAATTTTCATAAGAAATACGTATAACTTTGTGCAATACAAAAATCGATCCTAAAAATTTGCAAGCAACATGACTGAAAAAAAATAGGGAACGAAAAGTCGATAAAGTGATCCATCGAATCGTGGGTTCGACATCTGCTGCAGGCAATCAGGGAAGTCTACTAAAGGATCGGTAATTGTTTTACTGCGAATTTACGTTCGGAGCGTTTGTCTGGCCGACGATTGGGCCAACAGTTTCATTCAGACGGGTCGAAAAATCGTATTAACGGAGCATCGAAAGGGGTGCAGAGCGAGCATGAAAAACAAAAAGAGAGTAGTACTTGAGAGATTCGATTCGCCAATCGAATTACCTTCTCGAGCTCGAATTCGCGTATCCTGTGAATGGAACCGCCGATCGCCTTCTTCATTAAGCTCATTCTGATGGACGGTCGTCGGTCGTGTACCACGGGCTCGAACAGAAGGCAAAAGTCGGAAACGAGCTTAACAATCCGTTGTGGTTAACATAGAGTTGTTCGCACGATTGCTCACATTTTGTCATTGCATGAACGATGTTCATTGGGCTTCGAGCATTCAATCTTATTATCGAGAATTTTGCGTCTGGAAAGAAACAGCTTTATTCTGTTTTTAAAACATTCGTAGCATTAATTTGTTTTTGTCGAAATTTTATTGGTTAGTGTTATCTTTTAAATTGGTTAGTATGAAGTTCAAACATTACTCTTTTTATTAGAATCATTATATTATTTTCCATTCGAGACTCTGTCAAATACAACTGTAATTACAATTTTTAATATTATATATCTTTGTTTAAATTCTATAAGCTTTTATCAAGAAAGGGTTGGTTTCGGTATACAATACATTAATTAATTTTACATTAATTTTGATATTAATTTTAGTAGCACACGTAACCTGAAGACGTTTCGTAATTATTTACAAAAATATCGTAAAAAATAAAAATTTGTAAATAAACCACTTAAGCCACAATGACCCACACCCCGTCATACAAAACAGAAGCGCAAGATTTGAACCTCTGAAGACTAACTAAATTTTCAGAACGTTACAAAGCTCACAGGTCTAAGTATTCATGAATGAAGAGAGAAAAAATAAGTTTTATGAATGACTTAACGCGGGGGTGGATCGCCCCACTCTGCTTCCGCTTTATTGTTAGAAGAAAATTTATATGTATAGGGTACCCGGTAAAAAGTAGACACGTTAGATTTATAGTAGATGGACAACTAAATTCTTCTGTGTTAAAATCCTCAGTTTATACTCGATTTAAAGAGGTCGTGAACGGTGGATTTATTAACCCTTAAAGGCTATCATCGGAGGAAATGACGTTAATATCACGGGTGAAATTTCACCCCAGTAATCTTATCGGTAAACGTTATTCTTGTACGAGCATTTTATTAGTTTATCGTTTTATTACTTTACTGCAGTTTTATTAATTTACTAATTTACTACGCTTTTGTGGGACTACTCCACTTTATTACTGTTTACTTTGGAGGTCTCTGAATGAGCTCAGTTAAAGAAATTATGTTCTTTACTTATTTTAATAACCAATTCGAAAGTCACTTAAGAATTGTGCTATAAATTTTTACTTTAAAATAAATAGCAAATAATCTTTATTGACTGAAACTTAATTCGTGATAGTATCAATTTCCCATTTTCAGTGTTTATGAAGTCTCCGAAATGTGTCCCAATTTTCCCGAGTAATTCTATTAGTCAGGGTACGTTGAAAGATCAAAGGATTTTTTTCAGAAAGAGTGGAGTCTCTTCGGCGCGTTGAAAAGATCGTTGTTTGACCGGGGTGCACGTGTTGAAGACGAAAATAGGATCACGGATTCTGAGCCATAATTCATAGTTGTGTATTATTGGTCCGAATAAGTAGCTCCTGTGTAATTTCGCGTCAAAAAGGCCGTATTTCCTCTCTATAGAGAGCTTACAGCATCGTATTTTCGAATCACGATAATTGTTGCGCAAGTTGGACAACGAAACGCCGCAAAACTCGGCCGGCATACACCAACCTCTCCATTAGCCAAATTATACTAACTATATCGTTCGAGTATAATATCAAGATATACGTCTCCTTTCTCTAATATACTTCTGTCTCTTATATCTAGAAACATTTCAAAACCAATACAAAACTGGATTAATATTTCTGTCCATGATTCGACGATTATTTTTATCAACGCTTCTACGTTCAATTACTGTTATGTAAAAATATAATGTGTCTATTTATATTTATGGTGAATGGAGGCAATCTATTCATATTGATACGCAAGCACAATTAATCACAAAAAAAAAATTGCCTGTGGGGAAAATAATAAAATCACCTGGTTAAAGGTTAAAGACTTCATAGAATAAAAAATCAAATTAACACAAGCCAAATAATTTAGTACTGATATAATTAAAAATCGTAATCGTACCAAGAGATAAATGAAGCTTCGAGCGATAGTATCACTCTATCGTTTCTTATCAAACTTCACCGAAACGCTTATCACTTTTCTTGGAGGAATATTCACAAGAGCTCTTTCCCAACTTTCGTTCACCCACTCACACACACACAGGCACTCAACACTTTGGCACTTGGTTCCAAGAATTCGCTCACGAATCCGAGACACAATTAATCCATGAAAATGTCACCACCAGTCGAACACCTTCGTCGAATTTAAAAATGTACGATGGAACTTTAAGGAACGTTTTTTCGTCGCTTCGAGTTAAATTCGTTCGTGCAACGGGCCGCAACTATGTCCGTCGGGATTCGTGATTTTACAGCAACTACCGTGTTCGCTGCACTCTTCGGCTGTCTGCAGTATTTATAAAACACCGACCGGAAAGCGCGACTGGCGAGCTGATTTTGGCGGCGAGCCGGCTTGGCCGCGCGCTGACGCCTCGACGCCGATGTCTTCGTCGTCCACGATCCCAGCGGGCCCCGGATTCCGTGGAAATCGAAGAAAATCGCGCGAGTACGCCCGTCACGAGCTACCACATAGAACCACGTGGCTAACGTGGTTAAATGTGTCATCTTCGACCCCAGGCAATTGATGCGTCTGCGTCGCGACACTATGAACCTTTTGCGTGTCTTATGGGATCGATCAGTACGTCATTTATTTTCGCACGCCGGGAAAAATGTGAGACGTCGTTTAAATTAGATACTCGTGACAGTGATATCGTGCTTACATGGCCCCTTTAGAGTATTCATGTGGGTGGTGTCTCCGAGTATTTTGACTGAGACGTTCATGGAACTCCGCTGATTCAACTTCGAAAAATTTGTACACTCATATGATTTGTCATTAACGTTCTTAAATTAGCTTAAAATTTTTTCCATTTCGATCTTAAGCACTTTATTTATAAGCGGGAATCATGCGATTTGTATTTGTTATACGAAGTTAATAAATTTGATTAACTTATACATGTCTGATCATACTTTTATTTATTTTCTTATGGATTATATGTCTGCGGTATTTTTATCTGACCACAATTTCTGGTTATTAATTTTCATTTATGACAATTATTAATAATCATTAATAAACGTCGGTATTGGAATTTCAATTATCGCTACAAAGGCGATTAAAATTATACGTATACGTTACAGACATCTGGTAACGTGTCATGAAACCGTGACCTCTTCCTCGACTCCGTCGATATCTGCAGTTCTCTTCAGTACGTATCACTGAACTTCTCATTAGCGACCAGCTGTTTATTTCATCTTGTTAATTATAAATAAAACGACCTATCGGCCAAAATCTTAAAACACTGAAGTTAAGAGCATTTTATTTATAGTTTCAAAGATTGTTGTTTCACAAAAGTGTTAACTAGCATAATTACAAATCCTCACGTATTGTAAATTAAGGAAAATCATGCGACAGTAATAACGGTTATATAACTGCAATTAAATCACAAGAACATCTTATGAAGTGTTTTCATTATTCTTCTGTAAATATCAAATGCTTAAAAAATGATTTACTTACTAATATAGACAGTAAAGCATACGATAATTAATATCTGATACAAAAATCTATGTGTAACAGTAAAAATTATAATTTTGAGACAGTAATGTTTTGAAATATAAGGTAATGGATCGAGGTACACTAAATGCAGTTCGAATTTTCGCGCCGTCGAGTGGCGCGTGCAGTACCAAGAATGCACCGGCAGGTGGCGGCAGCGTGACTGCGCAGACGCCGCAAGAGGTGTTCGTGGTTCGAGTCCGGTGAATACATTTTCTCGGCTTTCCCGTGTCACGGTGTCGCGAGCGCGTCTGTCGTCGACGCTCGCGGTGTCCGTCGGTTTTTATCTAATCGCTCGGAGGAAAATTCGATTCCGCGAGGGTGTGAGTACCGGTCGCGGGTGATCGGTGGTAGTGTGCGTGTCGTGCACGAGATCGTAGATACTCGTGACAGTGATATCGTGCTTACATGGCCCCTTTAGAGTATTCATGTGGGTGGTGTCTCCGAGTATTTTGACTGAGACGTTCATGGAACTCCGCTGATTCAACTTCGAAAAATTTGTACACTCATATGATTTGTCATTAACGTTCTTAAATTAGCTTAAAATTTTTTCCATTTCGATCTTAAGCACTTTATTTATAAGCGGGAATCATGCGATTTGTATTTGTTATACGAAGTTAATAAATTTGATTAACTTATACATGTCTGATCATACTTTTATTTATTTTCTTATGGATTATATGTCTGCGGTATTTTTATCTGACCACAATTTCTGGTTATTAATTTTCATTTATGACAATTATTAATAATCATTAATAAACGTCGGTATTGGAATTTCAATTATCGCTACAAAGGCGATTAAAATTATACGTATACGTTACAGACATCTGGTAACGTGTCATGAAACCGTGACCTCTTCCTCGACTCCGTCGATATCTGCAGTTCTCTTCAGTACGTATCACTGAACTTCTCATTAGCGACCAGCTGTTTATTTCATCTTGTTAATTATAAATAAAACGACCTATCGGCCAAAATCTTAAAACACTGAAGTTAAGAGCATTTTATTTATAGTTTCAAAGATTGTTGTTTCACAAAAGTGTTAACTAGCATAATTACAAATCCTCACGTATTGTAAATTAAGGAAAATCATGCGACAGTAATAACGGTTATATAACTGCAATTAAATCACAAGAACATCTTATGAAGTGTTTTCATTATTCTTCTGTAAATATCAAATGCTTAAAAAATGATTTACTTACTAATATAGACAGTAAAGCATACGATAATTAATATCTGATACAAAAATCTATGTGTAACAGTAAAAATTATAATTTTGAGACAGTAATGTTTTGAAATATAAGGTAATGGATCGAGGTACACTAAATGCAGTTCGAATTTTCGCGCCGTCGAGTGGCGCGTGCAGTACCAAGAATGCACCGGCAGGTGGCGGCAGCGTGACTGCGCAGACGCCGCAAGAGGTGTTCGTGGTTCGAGTCCGGTGAATACATTTTCTCGGCTTTCCCGTGTCACGGTGTCGCGAGCGCGTCTGTCGTCGACGCTCGCGGTGTCCGTCGGTTTTTATCTAATCGCTCGGAGGAAAATTCGATTCCGCGAGGGTGTGAGTACCGGTCGCGGGTGATCGGTGGTAGTGTGCGTGTCGTGCACGAGATCGAAAGGGTCGTCCGTGTTCCCGAGGAGCAAAGGAGACGAGCGACGAAGGCGGTCGACGGGTGAGAGACGAGCACAGGAAGAGCGAGAGAGAGAGAAGAAACGGCGTGGAGCTCTCGCTCTCGGCCATAGGCGAGTAGAGAAAGAGAAGAGAAGAGAACGAAATAGCTAGAAGTGTGTCGGGCCACTATACACATCGAGGAACGAGCCGAGAAATCTTGCTTTTCCTCTTCGTTAGGTTGGATCGAAGGGGCAGAGGGGTGGGTTATTGGTGGGTGGGGTGCCGAAAAGAGAAGAGACAGTTCGTAAAGGAAGAGATAATCCGGCCGCGAAGGGTGTACGAGTCGTGTGTATCTTTTGTGCGAGGGAAGAGTATTGTGTCCGTAAACGAGAGTGCGAGAAAGAGACGGTGCAGTGCCGTGTAAACACATCCCATTGCCGTAAGTGCGTGCGCGAGTGGCAATCAGCGACGACTTAACATCGTCGTCGACGTCGTCGGTCACCGTCGTCGAGCTATCTTCTCGCGACAACCTTAACGCGAATCTCACAAAAAATCGCTACAGTGTTGCGCGTTTAAATCAGCCGAGTGTTTGACACGCGTATGAGCCTTGATCACAAATGACAGTCCATCGGACGAGAGGGCAAGTCGAGTGCTGGCTGGATTCGTCTGTCTAGCGGGCAAAACGGTAAGCGTGTTTTACTCAACGGTACATTTCACTGCAACGTAACCTTCCTTTACATCGGGTCAATTGTAGGGGAACCCCAACCTTCGATTTTCGAGCATAAAATAACTAAACACAATTTCACCAAGTTTCTTAACAATTTTCATAGCTGCATGTTTGTAAATCTATGTCAAATTTTTCAGTCTTAGATTTCCCTAACGACCAAATTCCTAAATTCTCATGTATAAAGATGTACTTTCAAATTTCCGGAATTTCCATACTAAATTTTGCAGATTTCCCAAGGGTTCCCCAGCTGCTATTTCCCAAATTCCCAAATTCTTCACATGTACCAAATTTCCTAACTTTCTAACTTCTCTAACTTTACAATATAACAAAATATGATAACCACCCACATCTCCAAATTTTCAAATTCCATATTTGAAATGTAGCTAACCAAAAACGATGATGCCCCTTTCCCCGCAGCGCCATTTTCCCTAGGGAAGCCCACGGTGCTCGCGAGTGTATGAACATTTATAGTGGACTGTCCTATAAAAATGGCCTCTGACGTGTTTCTTTTTCTTTGGTGTTTGCGTCGTTCGTCCACTTTGGTTTTGTAATAAGCAGGATGTGACCGGACAGTTGATTCTTTTTGAACCGGAATTTGGGAATCTGATTGTCGTGTAACGAGCCGAGAAGTTGAGTAGTGTCCGATAGATGATTCGTTTATAAACATTCGCGACCTACCCTGCACGATATAGCGCGCTGCTTGCATGCGATAAATGTGTGAATGACAGCGCAGCATGTGTGTGCGCGCGCACGCCTGTGTGTGTGTCTATCGTTCGAATACCCGTTACGTTTTAAGAAAGATCCTTTTTGTGTTCTTGTAAGACAGCTATTCCGCCATATTTATTTCCCACGGGTGCATAACCTGATGCAACCTTGAAACACGACCGCTAGACAAATAAACGTTCGACTTACGAATATCTGACGTTTTCCGAGCAATATGCGAATCACGTGCGTCGGCTGTTATCGACAGAACAGTTATTAAGACACTTCCTACGGTTCGATCATGCGAGCGTGTTTTCCGATATGTAGGTTACGGAGGTGTGTGTCTTTTCATTGGGGAAAGAATTGCGAAAAAAATCGAAAGAATCTCGAACGGCTTAGGATAAGTCGTGAAAGTATTTGCTTCGAGTCATCGCACGGAAACTAGTACAAAATCGCATGTCCGGTCTCTTTTTCCAGGCGCAATTAACGTACCTCGTGAAACGAGCGAGCCTGTATAATTCATTAACATTCCAAGCAAAACGTTCTGAAAAAAAACGAGGCGAGGTCCTCGATATTTCGATGGGCAGGTTAACGAACCGGGAGCTCTCTGAAATGTTAATGTCTTATTACGTCACGTTCGTTTACCGTGGTCAGAGAAAGGGGTCAAAGAGACGAAAGGAAAGGGACGAGGAAAAGAAGTGCGAGACGACTAAAAATGGCGTGGCACGGTATACCATCGTCTCACGGATACAGATTACAGAGTCTCTCTACTTCGATCGTCCTTCTTCTCTCTTCTCTTCTTTCTCTCTCTCTCCCCGGATATCGTGGAATGCACGCATGCACTTCGTCGCATTGCACCCGTGAAATTGTTTCACCCGAGCGCCATGGTCGCGACCAAAGAAACGTTCTAATCGCTCCTAATTGTTCACGCCACGAGGACGGAACGTCAGGGTATCGTTGCCCGTTTCATCCGGCTTGGCTTAGGTTTCTTATTATGCACCATCCACATTGATGCCAGAGACACGCGAATCGTGCACTCTAACAGTTAATGCGATGCAGTTTATACAGAATCAATGTATCATGAACCACGACAGTTAGGAGTGCAAAGTAGTTCACGATTACTGGTTTACAGGTAGTCGATAGCATGCACTCAAGAGCTCTTGAATTGATTATATGTTAGGCTAAGTTAGTTTCTGTGATTTTATGTTAGGTCAAATTAGTTTAAATATCATCAGGTTATGTTAAATTCAAGATTAAATTTTGGTGAGGTTAGGTTATTTTAAGGTAATGGGGATGAGGTTAGGTTATGTTAAGGTAATGGAGATGAGGTTAGGTTATGTTAAGGTAATGGAGATGAGGTTAGGTTAAGTTAGGTGTTAGGTTAGGTCAAATTAGGCTAAATGTTATTAGGTTAGGTTAAGTTAAGTTCAATACAAGGTTAGATTTTAGTGAGGTTAGACTGTGTTAAGATAATGGAAATAAGGTTAGGTTATGTTAGACTATTGTATTATTAGGTTAGGTCGAATTAGTTTAAATGTTATTAGGTTAGGTCAAGTTAAGTTCAATATAAAGTTACATTTTAATGAGGTTAGACTGTGTTAAGATAATGGAGATGAGGTTAGCTCAAGTCAGACTATTAAAGACATCAGATTAGGTGAAATTAGTTTAAATGTTATTAGGTTAGGTTAAGTTAAGTTCAATACAAAGTTACATTTTAATAAAGTTAGGTTAGGCTAAGAGATTGGAAGTGAGGCTAGTTCAAGTCAGATCATAAAAAACATCAGGTTAGGTCAGATTAGTGTAAATGTGATTAGGTTAGGTTAAGTTAACTTCAATAGAAAGTTACATTTTAATGAAGTTAGATCGGGTTAAGATAATGGAGATGAGGTTAGTTCAAGTCAGATTATAAAAGACATCAGGTTAGGTCAAATTACTTCAAACGCAGTTAGGTTAGGTTAAACTAAAGCATCTTCAGGTTAAATTGAACGACGAGTGATATCGAGTTCCGTTAAGATCATATTAACACGAGCGAGGTCACTGTCGATGAAGTTGAGTTTTGTCATTTAAATCTAGTTATTCCTGTTTGAACTTCGCGTATGACGCAATCTAATATTAATGAAGGACGATTGGCTGGAAATAATGTAATTGCGTTCTACGCCACTCACTCATACGCCGTAACGATGTTATCGATCTTAGTCGATAAAATGATCGGCAAGAGCATTGTGAACGGTGCCTTAGAGGTTTCCAAGTACGCCACAACCGGCATCTTCCGCGTGTCAAAGACTCAAGGAGGAATCTTGGTAACGGTACGCGAGCGCTACCTGTTACGCAGCCGTGGTGGTGCATTTACGTTACACATTACCATAAGTTATCGTCTCCTGAATCGTACATTTCGTAGAGCTTCGTGCGTACACCAATTGCCGTTCTCTTTGCCTTTTCCCCGGATTGCGAAATTCCCTTCTTGCGAAACTATTGTGCAACCAGTATCTTCCTTCTTTCCGTTTTCTTTCGGACGCTTTCGTGCGACCAATACGAAACTTTTGGTTCAAGGATCGACGGACGATAAAATCGTCGAGGATGCTCTTTTCCATGTTTGTTTATCTTCCGCTGAAAAAGACATTTTTCTACCTGTGGAATGCGACGATATGTTATCTTCCAGACAGTGATAAAGAAAAATCAAGGAAACACGGGCTGCCTCCATACCTGGAAGCAATTAATTCGCCATTGCTTTCACGGTGAAGTCACGCGAGAATTCTTTCTTTCGGAGATTTATGTAGAAATAGAATCCACATTTATCGAAGGGGGTGCTTATCGTACCGTCCAGTTTTATCAACCTTGTAACAACCTAATGAAATCCTCTACTTTCCAACAAATTACCATGGCGGTTTGCTCGATTTCTGGTTAATCGAGGAACCTGCAAATCAGTTTACTGGGCCGACGCAAAATTTAATCTTCCCTCGTTTAAACTGGAGCATCGCGGTAAAACGCGTTGACCTTTTTCGACCGGTAACGTAACCTATATACGAACAATAAATTTCCTCCACTTTCACGAAATCACGACTTATTATATCGTACAGATTCCCGAATAGGGAACGTAAATGGTGTGTGTCCTTGCCGTGAAATTGACTGCGGATCCTAATTCAATTACTCTGGATAATCCTACGTGTGATTTCGTTGCCGCGGTTGGATTAAGCATCTCCGCGTATCCAAATCCAATTTACTGCCAGCCAGAGTCATCTGTTTTCCATGCGTGTTACAATGCTCCAACACTGTACTTTACGAATTTAATATCTGCCTTTTACGCCTGCTAGAGAGCCTTTTAATGAGGATTCTTGCGGATAATTACGGTACGGGCTGATTACTCGGCCGCGTTCGGAAAAGTACGGGTGGACTCGGTGAAAGTATTTTCCCATGTGGAATGTTCGAGACTTGGTTTCGATAATTTGGGGAAACTTTTGAGATTCGAAGATTTGAAGTTTAGAGATTGAGAAGTTTGGTATTAAATTTGGTACTTTTGGAATTTGATTTTCAAACTTTGAAATCTGGGAAATCTTGTAATATTTAGATCCGGAGAGTTGGAGGAACTTATATGTGAACAAATTTAGAAAATACACAAATTGTAAAATACAATTTGAGTCTACTCTTGAGTCTCCACATTTTCTATTCCTTCACCAAGTTCTAAGATAACTTTTCTACTTGTCCTCCATTTTTTTCCTCAACTCTCCGAATATTTGAATCATCCAAGCTATGAAAGTGCAAATAGCATGAATCTATCGGCGTAGCCATGTTTCGCTGGAAAGCCGATAGCATAGCGAAAATACCGATGAGTATTTTGTTCCCTTTTTCCGAAGCTCGAATCACCGATACGAGGCTGTCGTCGAGATAAATTCGTCGCGTTGTCCGTTGGCCGGAGGAATGCAGCGATCCGTGTATGTACACGAGCGTATGTACACTTCCTCCAGTGTTATGCAACGCGTCGATAACACAGTTTCCGCGAGAGGACGCGTGTCGTATCGTCATGGTGTTCGAGGGTGCATCGTAAAACTTTTATCTTGGATTGATAGGCGGCCGAGCGACTCATTATTCTGACCAGGAACCGGGTCGAGCGACGTGTCACGTGCAGGTGGATACCGTGGGATCCTAACTTGTTATCGGTTAAATGTCATGTTCGATCAATCATCCAGATATTTCAACCAATTTTACGTTTCTTTCGACGACGAAATCGAGGTTATTTGCGTTTTAAATTTTATAAAGAT